CAACTTAATAATTCTAACAAACTCTTTAAATTCAATGCATAGCCTTTATGGCATACTCTTTTAAATATTATCAAATCTTTTAACTTAAATATTAACTTTCATAAAGTTCAAGCCCATACAGATAATATCTTTAATAATATGGCTGATTCTTTAGCAAAACAACACATCTTTTCTTTACCTTTAAACTTCTAATATACTAATATTTATAATCCTTTTCATATTTTACAATAGGAACAAAATCTTATTGAACTTCCTACCAGACATTTTGTTAAAAATATCTGTAAAGTCCACATACTGGCAATGTGGTCATCACAAAAAAGAAACAATGAATGGGCCCATATCAACCACTATATAAACTATAAATCTACATAGCTATATCTTAATCATAATTAAAAACACACATCTAACTTTACTAGCTTCAAACTTAATCAATCTAAAATCTTCAAGACAAAGTTCTTTTAAATCAACTACCAATATACTTCTCATATCATAATATCTATCCAACTATCTTTTCAAATGTTAATACTTTCGATGCAATTTTTCTGACTCTCACTTACATTAGTTAACATGCTCTAATTCATCTCTTATTACGAATATTATTAACTTATCTATTTAGCATACTTTATCTAAAGCAGACCTTAACTTACTTACTAGTCAACTATATGAACTTACTCACAAAATTCAAAACCATCTTTCATTTGACTGAATACTATTTCAAGCAAACTCTTTTTACTTTGATCTTACTCTTAAAGGCCTTATATCTAAAACCCTAATCAAAACAATTCATAACTATAACATACTTACCAAAATAGCTTTACAAACTATTATTCAAATACTTCTTGACATTAATGACCAAATTTATAATCAAATATAGAAACCTTATTGTATTGACTTATCTAACTAGAAAAAAAATAATAACATTACATCTCTCTTAAGCTCTAACAATAATCATTACTCCTAACAAATATAGTAAACCAGATATCACAAAAGATCACATATAAACTACATATACTTATGTCTATGTAGAATAGCAGATCAATTACATTTACATTCTAATATCTGCCTACCAATTGAACAAGCTATTAGAAAAATCAATATATGGTCGACACTCTGGATTAATCATAGCACATTTTACAATTACATTTTAACATTACAAATCTAGGTGGGTCTTGACCACCATAGTCAGTTTAGGTCACAGATAAAACTGTCTAAACTTTAATTCTTGCATATAATTTTTATTTTGTAGTTTACAATCTTAGTATATCTTAGTATATAGTATATTAATATGTACAACTAAAATTACTAATAAAGATATAAGCAAGGCCTCATCTTAACACCAAAAAAAAAATATATATATTTAGTTTTATATAATTTAGCACATGTGCATTGTAATACACCCACTTGATCAACCAATTAGTTGTAAGATTAGGTGTAATATAAAATCGAAAAAAATATTAATTTTTCTAAAAATTACTTGTAGTTCAAAATTTTGCTTATAAAACTACTTTTCATATTCTAATAAAAAAAATTCTTTGTAAAATTTTAATATTAAAATTAATTTTATTATTATTTAATCCTAACCTATCTTAATACTGGCTCTTATTTTAAATTAATATGCTAATTGGTTTGTTTTAATTTTATGTCATATCTAATTTTATAAGTACATTACAACACATATATGTAAAATAATAAAAATCTAATATTTAATATTATTAATCAAATATTAGTTTAAAATTATAAAATAAATTAGAAGATAGAAGAGACTGATTAGAAAAAAAATAGTATTAGAATTCAAAAGATATCTTTTAGCAATAATAGCAAAATTGGCAGCAATATGGACAGCAATTTTAACAGTATCAAAAAAGAAAAAGTATAGAAATATATACAAATAGCATTGCTATATTAAGAAATATTAACAAAGCAACTCAAAGTACAGAAAATAAAAAAACTCTAAAGAAGAAAAATACAATATAAATAATAAATATTGCAGATCTAATTAAAAGTAAAAATATTAAAATAAAAATAGCTAAAATAAAAAGTTATAGTAAAAATAAATAGCAGATTTATTTACAAAAAAAGAGCAAACTGCAAAAAAATAATCTATACAAAAGAGATTAAGTGCAATAGAATAGAGTATTACTTAGAATAAAAAAAACAAAAAGATTAATATATCAATAAAACTTCTATATAAAATAATCACAAATGCCAAAATTAAAGCCAATTAAAAAAAATAAATCCAATTAGAATACTAAAACTATAAACTGAATAGACACTACACAACTGGTTAAGTTTTTAGAAAGAAATAAATAAAACAAAAGAAGTACACTATCTTTTAAACTGTATAGCATACAAATTTGTATACTAAAATTTTTTAACTCTATTTTTAGATAATTGTGTAAGATTTTATTAAACTTCAACCTCTATTTATAAGCTAAAATTGAAGCAGATGACATGTTGATTATATTGTAGTTTATAGTATCTTCTACTTCCAGCACTGTCACTATGCAGGTAAATCCCAAAATATGCATTTGGATAATTTAATAATCAACTAACTTTTAAGTTACTATGTAGAAATTAAACTGAATTCTTTGCACAAAACAACCTTTAAATAATAAATAAACAAATAATTAGTTACAAACTTAAATAATAACAATTTTGCTTTAAATCAAGTGCAATTAGTATGATTTTTTTTTTTTAAAAAAAAAAAAACTATTATTACATTCTCTATAAATAAATTATTCTCTGAGTCAACTTCTGGGTCATCTTCTGGATCATCTTCTATAGTTAAAACAAATATATTGACTTCAAGTTTAACTTCCTTTGTTGAAGAATTGAATGCTAACAATGAAGATAAATACGAACTACTTCTAACTTTTTATTAGCATTCATTAAACAATTTGAGCTCAAAAAGTGAAAGCAAAAATAATAAAGAAATAAACACTAAAAATGTCTGAAAGAAAAAAAAATTAGCAGAAATACTACATCCAGAGCTGCCACTACCTCTATCAGACTTTGAGCCATTCACTTATCTAAAACTATTATACTAGGTATCTGTTTAGTTGCTATTACATATTAATGGTAGTACTATTAAGCCAACAGATATATTATTTTTTTTTACAATAAATATATTAGACACAATCATTGTCAACACAAATTTGTATGCATTAATCAAGAATGCTAGTATCATTGGTAAACAGTAGCAGAACATAACATGTAAAAAACTAATTATTTAGATTACTCTTGTTATTTACCAAAGACTTTTTAAGTTCTTTATCCTTAATCAATATTGGGATAAAAATTTCAAGCTTCTCATTTATAATATTTTAAAGCAAATATCATTGCTTTAGTTTAAGCAAATTAAAAGGTTTTTGCATATATTTACTTTTGCTTAAGAAAATAATAATTACTTTGAAAAATTAAAACTACTACTTTTTTATATTAAAGATACTTCAAAATATCTTAACATGCCAAATTCAAATATCTCAATTAATGAGATGATAATTTGATTTTTTGGCAAAAGTGTTTACATGGTTCATATAAAAAACAAACCAACACCAAAAAGATTTAAGATCTTATTGCTCTGTGAAGCAGAATACATATATACTTTTATATCAACATTGCATATTATTCTAAGTAATACAAAAAGAATTTAGGGTCTTAGTTAAATTAAAAATTTAGTCTTTTATCTTGTTGAGCAGCTTCCATATTAACTCTATTCATACAATATATATATAAATAATTATTTTTCTAATATTACTCTTTTTCAGCATCTTTGACAAATTAAAATTAGTACTTGTAGAACTGTTCAAAAAAATTTTTCTGGATTTTTAAAAAAATTAAGAGTAGATAGAAATACTAAACTTGACTGAGATATTCATTCTGAGGTAGTAATAAATAATGTATTAGCTTTTTTTTGACAGAATAATGGGCCTGTCATTATGCTATTAACAATCTATAATCTTGTTGGTAAAGAATGAGAGGTAATTTGAGAAAGACAGCAACTAAAAAAAAAACAAGCATAAATGCATCTAAGGCTAGTATCTAGTTTTTTTTGTTTCTTTTTTTTGTGTTATTAAATTATATTTGGATTATTAATTAAGATTTTTTTTGATAATTATCAAGTAATTTTGTGAATATTTATGTTTGTAAAATTATATAATAATTAATAATTTTGAATTCTATAATAAATGATATCTTAATACATTAAATTAAAATCTAATCTTTTTTTTTTACTTATTTAATTTATTTATTTTATTTTTTGTTATTTTTATCTTTATTTTTTATTTTTATTTTTACATATTTATTATTTATCTTTTTTTTTACTTATTTATTATTCAATACTTACTTAGGTGCATGCTATGTTTGAATCTAAATTCAAAAAGAATTTAAAAATTCCTAAGATTGTTAATGATTACAATAATAATATGAATGGTATAAATATTGCAGATTAGTTATGATTCTATTATAATACACAAAAAATAATATATAGAAATTGGATGTCACTATTCTTTTAGTTACTGGACACTGCAATCATCAACTCATATCACATTGTCAAAACTCTAAGAATGATACAAAAGCACAAGAAATTCTATCTTAAGCTTGTTTGGGTTCTTATAAACTTTGTCAATAATACTGGTAAAGTTAAACTAAGAAATAGCATAAAAAAAAAATCAAAAAAAATAAAAGTTACAAAGCATTTTGAGCTTACTAATTAGTGGTTAAAACCTAAAAACCACTTTGTAGAATGAAGAAAAAAATCAAAAAGTTTGCCAATGGTGTTTCTGGTTAGTAAACTAAAAAAATTAGTCATGAGTTGCAAATTACCAAACAAAAGTAACCTTTGGTATATTGCCTATAACATACTACTTTGTTGTAATATAGGTCAAAATTGTTTTTTAGAATTTCATATTGATAAATAAAACAAATAAATAATATAAAGCTTGATAGCATCTCATTCAATCACTACTTACTATATTATTATTATTATTATATCACTATTGCTATTACTATATATTTAATGACTTTGGTTATTAAGTTTTAATATATATATCTTGATTTGATTAATATTAATAATTACATAGTCAATTCATGAATATAAAAACAAGATATCTCTGCCTTGTGTTATGAGCTATAAAAATGTATAAATATCTTATAACAGTATATTTGTCAAATATGTTAGTTATCTACCAAAAACTTGACAATAACTCATATACAAAACAACTATCATACAAGTTTGTGCTTTTTTATTTGGGTTATATGGCATACTACATAATAGTTATAAAGTGTAATCTGAGTTCTTAGAAGCTATTATAATTGATTTAAATAATATTTTTATATAAAGAATTTTAAGAAGAAGGCAAATTTGTCTTACCAATTTTAGTATATAAATTTGTATACTAAAATATACAGTTTAAAGAATATATTAAAAAAACTTAATACAATAAAAATATAACTAGTTATATGTATAACTTTAGTTATTTATTTAATTAAAAGTTTTACTTATAGGTTACTTACTAAATGTCATACCTAAGATCTGTTTCTGAATCATCTATTTAAACTTTTTAATTTTCAATACTATTTGTATATATTTAATATTTATATTACTATTAAGTGACATATTAGATTAGATTATCTAATTATTATTATTATTTTTTTTATTTTTTTTTTATAATGCCAATCATAATACTTTATTTAATTAATATTGGATTAATACATTAGAGTTATTACATTTTATTTGTACTACTATATTACTATATAAACATTTAACATAATATTATATTTACACTTTTCTGAATTAAGACTAATACTATAGTGTTTCAATTATTGTTACTAATTAAAAGTAAGGTTGTAGTCATCTTGTAATACTATATTCTCTAATTCTACCTGACTATAGTTCCTTTATTTACTTCTTGCAGTAACTCATCTCTTTTCTTAAATTGGTTAACTTCAGCAGTTTCTTACTCTTCTTGCTACCAATTTGATGTATACAGCTCTCTATATATTAGTACTGATCAGCACAGTTGGATTTATCAAGATTTTGAATTATTATCTGCAGCTATTATGTATTTTTTTTTTTGTATACTATCATAGTTATTGTATTATTGTACTTCCAATTTGATATTGCAAGAGGGCCTAGAATCTTGACTTATTATATATAAGTATAGTAACCATCAATAATATTGTGATGTATGACTATTGTCTTGCTTCTTAAAGGTTTATAGTACCTGCCTAAAATTTTTTAATTTTGGTTAGATCAATCCTTTATTACAGATCTTCTTTGCATGCACCACTTTACTCACTACTTTAGTTTTAATTATATTAGTATTACCCTTCTGATCAAGTACTCTGTAAGTTAGATACAGAGATGTTAATGCTGCCTCATCTCAATAGAACTTATCTGTATAATACTTTTAGTAGTAGAACCTTCTGTAATGCTGCTATTACATGTAGTGTCTTCTCTTTGCAGAGTTGATCTTTTTATGGAAATTCCTAATCCATTCTTGTGCTTCACTTTGGAACTTACTACAGGGCTTCATATCTGATTTGGCTCCTATATTAGGTTACAGAGTTAAAATTCTAAGATTTTACCTTTAGCCTAACTCGAACCATTGACTTTGTCTGTAGAGAACTAGCAGCTTAACAATTAATCTATGAAGCCTAACTCTTTAATTATTATTTATATCATAGTACTATCTTATTAAATAAGTATCTATAGTCCTTTGAATTTACTTTTAATACAAATTTACTAAGTATGGTATCAAGATTAATTCTTAGATTTTATTTAATTTTAATGTATCTCATATTCACTAAACTATCAAAAATATTTAAATTTTGGTAAATTTATTTCTTTCTATAATTTTCTTTTATATTTATTATATTACTTGCTAGTGTATATTTTCTTTATTTCTGATATATTTACTGCTTCTCTTATATTAAATATCAACTTTTTATATTAGAAGACTTCTTTTTGAAAACTTTTCTATATACTAATCTTCTATTTATATAAACTTAGTTACAGAATTTTGTATATATTTACATGCTTCTATAGATTACAGAGTTTTGTTTTCAGCTAGAATTAAACTATTAATCTTGTCTATAAAAAAAGAAATATCTAGACTACTAGGTTACAGGATCCTAATCTTAAATATATATATATATATTTTTAATATTAAGATAATTTCTTTAGTCTTTTAACTTTTATTAATAACTTAATTGATAATATGATTCTATAAACTATTATAAAAAAGCATATAATTAGCTATACATATAACTTTTCTATATTATCTATTTAAAAAGTCCACCTGAAGGATTTCTATTAATTGTTATATTTAATATCTCTGCTTGAATGTTCTATTTTAAATACTTTGAATCTGCAATTTGTATTAATATTACTAGATCATATTCAGATGCCCAGATCATCATTTCAAGCTTAGAACTATTTTATCTTCAAGATAAATCTCTCAAAGCTTTTTGTACTCATTTTTATAACTAATCTAGATATTATTTTAATAGAACCAATATTTATAGTCAAAGTTATATTATTTAATTACTATACTCTTATAAAGTTTACTTAAACTCTAATATTTATTTTATAACATAATTTTAATACTTTAGTATATTTCTGCTTTTTGTTCAGATTTCTAATCTAAATAGTTTGTATAAAACTATAACTAGTTCATCAGTATATCAGATTAGTTCAATATCTTTTTTTTTTAATTTATTACAGTAATCTGATTGGTAATACTTTGAGCCTTTCTCAACCTGAAGGTTCTTATTAATTCAGGTACTATAATCTTGGTATCTATTTTTTCAAGCTAATCTTTATAGTAATACTATCAAAGATCCAACTATCTTTTTATTTAGGTCTTTTTAAGTAAACTTCTTGTTATCTAATTTTAATAAATTTACATGATCATAAAGACTTATCTAGTATTTATATCAATTTGCATTTCTCTGTATAATTATACAGATGTTAGTCATACTGGTATAACTGTTATTACAGATATTCTAACCTAATTGTTTGTAACAGTTATCATAATATGAATATTACATAGGTAATTATTCAAATTTTTGCCATCAATAGGATTTGAATACTCAACATATCACTTGAAAAGTTGACAACCTGACCACTTCACTAGATTACTATACTCTTCAATCCTGAATATTTACTTTATATTATATACCAAAATACTTATAAAGCTTTTTTTCAATAATTATCAAATATTCTAGTATTATATTATTCTAAAATAATATTACAAGATATTATTTCAAATGGCTTAATTTAAAATAAACAAATAATTAACTTAAACAAATAATTTTTTTAAACTTTATTATTTATTTGATATGCATTAAAGTTAAAAAAATTCTTTGTCTAAGTTAATTATTAACTTATTTTATATTTGATTTTACTAAGCTATTTATATTCATAAAGATAATATTCTTCTGAAGTATATCTGCAAATATTTTCTTTTCTTTTAATTTTATTTTATCACCAAAAAAAAATTAAAAAATCAACATGATGTTCTTTTAAAAAGCATTTACGAATGATTTTTACTTTCTAATTTATTGCTATTAAGTTTAAAAAAAGATTATTAAAAATATTATACTTAATTTCAAAAAATAAAATTAAATTAAATAATAAAGTAACTAAAACTTATAAAAATAATATTTTTATAGAAGTTTTAAACTAATTTAATATACCTTCTAATTCATTATAGTAAATTGCATCTAGATGTTTTTGTAATATCAAGCTTGCGAATTAAGAAAATACAATTTTTGTACGTATCAATAATTATATAATTATCTTAAAAAAATATTGATCAAACAATCCAAATTAAATAAAATAAAACTAATTTAAAAAATTTTTTATCCGATTTGATTAAATTTTTTAAAACCAATTTATTAACCAAATTTGCTTGATTTTTATTAATTTATCTTCTAACGGTATATTAGTAGAGCTTATAAAATCGAAACCCAAGTTTCAGCATTAACCAATCGCAGCATCGACCGTGACAATTATTGAAAAGAGTCTTAAATAAATTAAATCTTATATTAATTATATAAAAATCTTAAAACCCAATCAATTTCTAGCATTATGTGTAAAGCAATAAACATACATATACAGTATCATCTTATATTCAATCAATCAGCATCACGATACGTATTACTAATCATTATCCTCAGACAATAAGGATTTGATAAACCAATCTCTAAATCTAACAAACGTATAAAGAATCAAAACTCCAACTGATTATTTTTATTCATATTACGCATATATAAAGAAAAATTTACTAATAAACCCAGATAAAAGAATCGGCTTAGGAATACAAAAATCATTCTGAATTTCTCATTTTATCAAATTTACGATATGTAATTCCAAGAGAGGTTAGCGTTTAATTAAAAGTCAAATAGTGTATTACCATGGAAAATATCTTGTGCTACTAAGATTTAATTAGGTGAAAAATCTGCAATCAGACGATTATTAAAAGAATATATATAACAATTTTTAGTTTATCATTGTTGTTTGCACAGCTGCATTGACTTTACTCTTTATTCACACTTGATTTTTGATGATTTAAGAGAAAAACATTAATAAATAATGTTTTTTGATTCGTCCTCTCGAAAAATGACGCACCCTTTAGACTTTGATGTTGAGGAACATCCAAATATATTCAAGAAAACAGCGTATATTTGTCGGAGAATAATGTTTACTTCATTACGCAAAGCTCGCAAAATAAAGAATCGAATTATAATAATGATACTTTTTTTATTTGTCATTTTATATTTATTTGGGTCATCAATTAACTTACATTTTATAAAGATAAAGTACAAAATCCGTAATAATTTATACGATCTGGGATTATTTTCTTGTTCTTTGAGGAAGACGCCAATTTTATATATGATTGAAACACAAAAGATGTTAGTAGTCTGGGAAGCAAATTGTGCGCTTAAAGATGTCAGAATTCGGTGGTACGAAAACAGGCCAAGTGACGGCATAGGTGTATTACTCGGCACGTCGAATATCCTTGTCCCTTTAAAGTTAGATGATTATCATCACGTATATAAAGCGATTATAGGACCATTCGAAACTATATCTAATTATGAGTATGAGATAATTCATAAAGAAAATGAACGAAAATCTGAAGCTATCATTGCTTCAAATTCCTTTCAATTTTTTCCAGTTCTACCAGACGATTCTAATTCAAGTGCCTATCCTATAAAAATAGTGGCATTTTCTGACAATCAAATGGGCCTCACCATTTTTAATCGCCTTGTGAAATCGGCTTTCCAACATCACACGCCAAATTTTATAATCCATGCAGGCGATGCCGTACAAGATTACAAGAATCTTCAACAATGGCAAACAGATTTTTATGATCCTTTGACAAACTATCAATTATCACTACAGGCGCCTATGATTTATGCGCATGGAAATCATGATTACGATAAACAAAGTGTATACGCATACACTACGGACATGCCTTGGTATTCATTCACGATAGCCAATACGCGTTGGATAGTGCTAGATAGTAATATAGATGACGTTAAGCAAGATGAATGGCTTCTTCAAGAACTTTCTTCTTCAGAAACAAAAAGTGCTGAATTTAGAATTGTAGTCGTGCACATTCCACCTTTTGTCGAATTTTGGGAACCTGAAGCGTGGCATGACAAAAATGAAAAACACTGGGGAGAATTCGTACGTACTAGATTTGTACCTTTATTTCGTACACACGGAGTAGATTTAGTAATAAGTGGACACCAGCATAATTATCAACGTGGACAATCAGACGGAATAGTATATGCAATTATTGGCGGGTCTGGAGGTGATTTGGATCTTGAAAATGTAGAGGATTGGAAAATGTATGTGACTACGAAAAAAACACATCACTATGTTCTAATGGAGATATGGTCGGATAAGATCATTTGGGTCGTATATGACCTTAAGGGTTCTGTGATTGATAAATTTGAAATGAGCAATAGAGTTATTTTTTCATCAATTTCATAAAATATTTATCGCCGATTACCATAGACCAGAAAGAGAATTTTTATTTGTACATTAGTGTATGAAACACAGGTATCTATATAACTTAAAAATTTTACTAATAAAACATCCTTCGGGGCTCTAACAAAAAAAAACATTGTGAAATTTAGTATAAATTATACCCTAACCCAAACCTTAAACACTACTGTAAATTAGCACCCGCATAATAAAATTTATGGTCAGTAAAAATAAAAAATTTTGATAATCCCAGAATTTAACAATTTTAATACAGTAATAGCAATAACGACGGTTCAATTTCAATAATGACAGCGATAGCTCAATTTACATATACAGATTTGTAAAATAAATTAGAATAAATCTTTTTAGTTTAATTTTGGCATATCTCGACCATCAATAATATGTCATTTTTAAAAATTTCTCTTGATCTTCCATCAAGCTCACATTTTTAAAAAATTTCTTGACAAGTTCGGCAGGAATATCTTCACGCATCAACAATCGACACATCAAGTTATATGCCAGTTTTTTAAATTTTTCTAAGTAAGTTGAAATTCTCATTTGTCATCCAGTTTCTACATTTTTTACGCACTTGATCCCTGAAGGGCTTGTTAATACTAACATTTAAAGGTTGAACAAGCAATGTAAGTCCTTCGGGTATCCTATAATAGTGTTACATTCTGCATATATTTCAGACTTTATCAGTCAGATATTCTTTAAAGCATCCAGAGTAATAAACTCCATTTTGTTCAGTATTTAAGTTTGCAAATTTCGAGGCAAATTTTGCCCAAGTTTTGATGTTGGAAAAAATTATTCATAAGCAGATTTTTCATTCTGAGCTCCACGCCATTAGGCATTACAGGAATTCTTCATTACATAGTTCATCAACTCATGGTTTAATGCATTTTCTGCAAGGGGTACCGTACCCTGTTTTTTGACTGACTACTCGCCGATTAAAACTTCTTGACGCTTTAAATTTTCCTCTTTCACGCCATCATAAGATCAATATCATATTTACGTGCTGAAGTATGTTTGCTAGTTTGCTTCACTTAGTCAATAACTTCGAGTTTAAAGGTAACAGTATAACTTCTTTTTTCTTTCCGCATTATTAATTACAGATATGTTATAGCAAGGCCATTAATTTATATTATCCAAATCACTATGTTGATATTACATATCTTCTATTAAACTAAAAATTTAAATTAATTATGTTTCTTATGTAATGTAATAATACATATACTTGAATAAGCAGTTATGTTATCCAGCCGAGATCGTGATATCGATGGTTTATTAATTTTCAAATAACCAGTGAATAAGTATCACTACTAATTAAAAAAAGGTGCTTATTTTCTGAGTTTTACGGTACTTAACGATATACATTTGTGTATATAAAAATGTACTGAAATTCTAATATTTATTAATGTTAATTCTAGCTATGCAAGCATAAAAATATATTAGAAATGGAAGGATAATCTAAACATGTCAACTAGAAACATCAGATAAAGAAGTGTTGTCTTTATCATCATTGTCAATATCATTGTTCTGAGGAATAATTAAAAGGTTTTTCGCCACCAACCCGTAGCGATCAGAAAGTTTTAAGAATCGAGCATATAATAGGCTTTCGTTCTAAAAATAATATCTTTATATCAATAGGTTACAGGATTCTCACATGGTACATTAGAAATGACACAATTCTTACCTCAAAGGCTTCGAATACTTCGCGATGATGAAACCATGCATGAGCAAATATTCTATAAAGCCTTCTCGCTATGGATTGGTAATGTTTTAATGAAGTCTCGGGTATCGATATCCTTTAATAACAACAATCAAATTTTTAGCAAATAATCATTTTATGTAATTAACAATAATTATTAATTCGAGGTAACTAACCTGCTAGGAAAATACTTCTGGCTATTAAGCAATGCAGTTGCGCCATCCAAGGTATGCACAATGTAATCGATCGCACAACACTGGATTTAATTCCATGAGAGTTCGTTCACCTTAGTCAGGAAGGTTTTAAGAAATATTTTAGATAATAATTACCTACGTTCGTGGGGGCCTGATGGGCAGCACATAGATACATCCATTCATCTGCTTTCATTTCGGGACATGATTGACGATTACATTCAGATTCTAGTTGAACTACCAAATAATTGAGTTCAAGGCATAATTGTCTGTTAATTTATTTACAGAAAAATAATGTAAAAAAAAATTTTTTTTAAGATTAATAAAATAAAGAGATATAATGTGTAAGTAATGAATACCTTAAATGTTCATACTGCCAGGTCTCCTTTTCATGACCCGGCGGTAATTCAACTAATAAGTCTATATTTTCTTTGTCGGTTCGTATTAATGATTGTAAATATTCCTGCAATGCGAACGCAGATTCGTACTTGTCTAATGCTACGTGAGGGAACTGATAGGCATCCTAGTAAAAAGTAATACGTGAACTTTCTGATAAAAAAATAGTTTGCATAGAAAACACCAATAAAGATGTTAATATTAAGCTTTTGTGGAAAATAACATACTTCTAACTTAGTTCCAGGGCGATTTCGCCGCACAGGAGTTGGGTTGAGAGTTGTTTCGGTCGAGGTGGTCGATGCCATAGCTATGAACGTTTAAGATCGGCATCACGAGTATCATTTTTAAACGTCGAATAGCCAATTACAACTAATCAAAAATTAAACATTAACGTTAATACTAATTTTTGCCAATTAAATAAAGTTGGTTATAGAGCTTTTTATTAGACCTAATATTTCACATTTACGTATATGCTGTGCTCTAGATAAATTGTTCAATATCCCTTCCAAATTCTATTTAAAGTATAACTTTAAAAAATACAGTATCTAATAACAATTAATCGATTATTATCGATATTAAGGTGCGTGCATGTGACCCAGGAGTTTATTGATACGTAGTATTTGGCTTGTAGCTTGTTTGTACAACAACTACAGGAGCAATCAATGGAAAGAGTGTACAACTAACCACTTGTACAACTTTAGTCATTGTCTAATTTAAAGTAGTCCGTCCTTTTTATTTAAACATTCTAGTTCTTGTATTCATCCTTACCTTACCAATTGCACCTTAATGTAAATATGTTATGGTCATTAAATCATGTTTGATTTTGTATTAAATCTACCAGAGCTTTTTATATCCTATACTTACAGCTGATTTGAACTAAATCAGCACTTGTAGTTAGAGTTAACCATTAAATCATTATATTTTTGTAAAGTTCATTCAAACTTTGGTACCTATCTTTCTAATATTTTTCTATTGTTTTTTATTAATTGTTACTTAGAACTGACAAAACTTTTTAGATTACCAATCCAGATGGTCTGATATAATATACTTATGTATCCTTTTTTTTTTGACAATTTTAGTAATTTAGTTAATCATATGTTCTTCTATATATCTTGACATCTGATTTATTTATTTATTCTTTTAAAGTATTTTATAGGTTTCTATCAGTTCAACATTATTGTCAAAATTTGTATTATTTTTTTATTTAAGATTTTTAACTAGGTTTTTAACTTTTTAATTTTTTAGTTTTTTATATTTGATGATCTTATTGTAGATTTATATCAAAGTCTTATGTAATATTAGTTTTTTACATTTCTTTATATACATATAATATTATATTTTGTATAGATATTTTAAGTTAACAATGTTAAGTAAGATCTGATTTGATATATTTAAAATTATAGATATTTAAATCTAACTAATTAACAAAAAACAGTTATTATAATACTGATATAAATTTCAAAATTTGTTATTCATGAGATTTGAATCTTAGACTGTTACTTAAGAGTTGACAACCTATTTATTTTACTAAGTTATCACATCCTTATATAAATTTAATAATAATAGTGTTTATAATTTATAATTAATAATAGTATCATTTTTAAATATGTATATATAATATTATAAACAAGTTATATTATATATTAAATTAGTGTTTTTAACTTTAATAATTAAATTTATAAAAATATTAAAATTTTTTTATATTTTGGTAGTTTTATTAATAATTTTATTAAGAGAATTATATAATTAACTATACAAATATTAGCTTAATTTACAGATTTGATATTTCTTAACTATTTTAAAAATACTTAGAAACAACCTATCACATTAGTGTGAGTTTATACTTGTTACTAAAGGGCTATTTAGAATAAGCTTTTAAAATTGTTTTAGTATCTTTTATTATTATTAATTAGCTTTCTTATTATTTTTTTTATAAGTTTTTTATTTTATTTTTTTTTATTTTTTATTTTTCTCTTTAGTATTTTTGTTTTTTGATTCTTATAATATTTTGTATAATACCATATTCTGATGTTTTTTATTTTTTTATTTTTTTCTTTTTCTTTTTTGACTAATATTTTGGCTTTTTTTCCATTCATATATTTTATAATATCTTTTCCTTTATACTGTTTTATAAAATTTATTTTATATAATGCTTATGATGCTTACTATAAAGTTTTTGGTTTCTTGTACTAAAACTAAAAAATCTTGTATTTTTTTAATTATTTTTTCTTAAATAAGTTCTTTAATTAGTTTTTTTATTATTTATATTTTTTTTATTTAATTAGTTTAAAGTTTTTTTAAATTGATTATAATAGTGTTTTTCTTTGTATCTTCTAATAGTAAACTCTATGTTATTTTTATTATCAAAGTTTTTATTTTTGTTTATAAATCTTTATAGGCTTAATACTCTGCTAAATAATTTTAATCTTTTTCTTTTTTTTTTTGTACAATATACAGTTTGGACTATATATAGGTCTGTTTATTATATAGTTAGTTCTTTAAATATAAGCATCTTTTCTTGTATACATTTAAAGAATTTGTTAAGTCTTTTATTTTTTTAAGTTAAAATATATTTTATTCTATTTTGGTTTTTAATAACAGAGTTTAGCAATGTTTATCAATATCATATTTTGACTTTAACTTTTTAATTACTAATAAGTAACTCTAATCTGTATTGTTTTTTATATTAAAAATCACTTAAACAAAAT